GAATTTTGCAGGAAATGTTCTTGTTACAAGGATTAGGCATACTGTTGTCGCCATGAAGTGTGGCTACCTGCTCCCTCTGAATACCATAGATGCATGACCTATAGTTGTATGCAATGCATTGTAAGAGTATCACATAAAAATGGTTAGCAAGGATAGCTCACGGCATTTCCCCACCTGTGCCAGAACAGTGTAATGCATTCCACCTACTATCAAACCAGTCAAGTTCCTTTTACACTTGAGCACGAAAGAACATTTCATGAGCTACAGAGAAAGGAACAGAGCAATTTGCTGCCCTTTTATGACACCTTTGAGCTGCAATTGGAGGTGAACACTTCACTCAGCCTTGTATGGGGGTGGAAATCACATGGCCTTCCAGATATTGTTAGATTGCCAGTCCCAACAGCTTAGCCAATAAAACAAAAAGAAAGCCAAGACAGCCTTCAACAATACAAATATTAGAGTTTTAGTCCAACCCTATCCATTGTTTAATTAATGAATAAGATGGGTCCTTGTAGTTGTATTATTCGAGTATAAGCCAACCTGAATATAAGCTGAGGCACCTAATTTTACTACAAGTAACTAGGAAAGCTGATTGACTCGAGTATAAGCCGAGGGTGGGAAATGCCGCAGCTACTGGTAAATTTCAAAATAAAAATAGATACCAATAAAATAACATTAATTGAGGCATCAGTAGGTTAAATGTTTTTGAAGATAAAACTGTAATTTAAGATAAAACTGCCAAACTCTGATTAAACCATTATTCTAACCTTCTTCAATGTAAATGTGTTTATGTATCCTTTGTAATAATAGAGTAAAATAATGAAAATGTGATAACTAATAATAGAGTAAAATGTAATTATAACAATAATATAGTAAAATAATAAATGTAATAATAACAATAATAGAATCATTGAGTTGGAAGAGAACTCATGGGCCATCCAGTCAAACCTCTGCCAAGAAGCTGGAAAATCACATCCAAAGTACCCCAACAAATGGCTAGAGTAAAATAATAAATGTAATAACAATAATAGAATAAAATAATAAATGTAATAATAGTTAAATTATGAATATAAAAATAATACAGTAAAATAACAAATATAATAATAACAATAATAATAGAGTGAAATAATGACTCAAGTATTAGCAGAGCTAGACTTTTTCAGTCTAAAAAAAGGGCTGAAAAACTAGGCTTATACTCCAGTATATACAGTATATGAAATAGTAAATGGCGGAAGAAAGATAGTATAACTTTTAATCAAGTGTTTGCTTGACCATGTGCATTATTGTGAAAGTGGATAGTCTTTTCTCCTTAACTGCATGCACTTTTTGAAGTAAAGTCTTTACCAAATAATAAAGCCCAACACTGGTTGTTCTTCAAAGTAACCTATTTTAACTCAGAGATTGGAAGTACACATTACTGTCTGAGATAATAAGGATGTTCTTAGGTGCCTTCAAGTCAACTTCAACTTATGGTGACCCTACCCTAGGGTTTTCTTTAAAGACTTCCCATTGTCTTTCCCTTAGGCTGAGAAAGTGTGACTTGCCCAGGGACAAGCAATAGATTTCCATTACTGAGCAGGTTTTTGACCCTTAGTCCAAAACTCAGAGCACTTACCTGTACTGGTTGTCACAGCAGAGATAGATACTACCAAATCACATAGGATTTTAGCCTTGTTTTGGGTGAAAGGTTGGATATGATACAAACAAACAAACAAATGGAACAGAAGGAGTAATGTAGTGGATCACTTGTCAACTGTTGTAATGAATAAAAGCAATTAATTATAATGCTTTAAACGCTTTAGCAAATATCAGGAAGAAAATATTTTTTAAAAGTAATTTCCCAAACAGCCTATCAACACAATGGCCATATAATTCCCAAAGAATTCTGGGAACTCTTGTTTGGAAAGACACTGCGTAAAGAGTTCCAAATACCGAGCACATACAAGATACAGAGTTGCAAAATCACTTACATTTGGTATCAGTTTGCTGATTTTAGAGACAATGGAAGGACATTTCTGCCCACAAATTACTTGGCAAATCTGATCATTTCTAAATTCAGAAATGCATTTACATTAGCAAGATTCAATGTTCTGCCATCTGCGCTTCTGGAAGGAAGATTTAAGAGGGTCTCTTATCAAGAGCAATTATGCCCTTATGAGACGGGAGAATGAAGCAGTTGGGCATGTTTTACTATATTTTTCTTCTTCATTGAGATACCCAATTTATTTTTATTACTCCAATTTTGCAGAAAATTCCCGGCAGATTTGATGAATTTCATTTATTATATCTTTTGTCAGTTCTGAATCCGCAGGTCACTGCTAAAGCACTTTGTTTTTGTATGTAGTTTGCGGAAAAATATTTTCGCGTTTACTTATTTCTTTTCGAAATGACATGAGTATTTTTACATTATTTTATTTTACATGGCTTTGCGTATTATATTATTCTGCTCTCTTTGTATTTTTTTAGCATGGTGTGTGTGTGTGTGTGTGTATGTATCTATATATGTATGTACATATGTACATACACACGTACACATACTGATGTTTGAAAAAAAAATCATTTCATATCACTCCTAAATTGAACTTGTTCAAAAAGTAACTGTTTTCAACTGTAACTCCCAGAATTCCTTAGCCAGTAGGGATTGTGGGAACTGGAATCTTAAAAACTAATGTTTCCAAGCACTATTGAAAGAAAAAGAAAACGGATGGTCAAAGATTTCTACTGGCTGCTTAGCAACAAGCTACTGAGAATGCCTTGCCATTTTCAGTTTATAATAACTTCAGACCAACCTAGTTTTGTTTTCCCTTGAGAATATCTCCCTCATTCCCACTATAATAAATGTTCATATATATGCAGCCTGCACATGTCAAGAAATATCACCATGGAACATTTTGCATTTTGTTTGCTCATATATCTTGCCAGCAGGATGTGAATTGCATTATTGCATTTTAAATTTAATTAAACTTGTAATCTAGCCCTGGAATATTTTTCTAAAGTATGGCACTAAGCGTGATTGCCCACTTGGCCAGCATTGCAATTGTATTTTTACTCTCAGCTAACATCTCATGGCTAGAAAGCTCTGGTTACAGTAATAGCATGATGCTATTTTGTAGCCAAGAGAGTAGTGTATTCCCATTCTCCTCTTACTCCAGATGTAAGTTTAGCACAGAAGGCTATGATTTTCCCCCCCTGGCTGATCACTCTACTGTGTTGTCACCAGTTCAGATTTATCAGATTCGTATGTCAAGTTCTCCCCCTACTGGTAAGGCTAGACACCAAAGCGAAAGCTACTTAAATGGAGGTTGCTGTCAGTTTTCTAGGCTATATGGCCATTTTCCAGAAGCATTCTCTCCTGATGTTTCATCCACTTCTATGGAAGGAATCTTCAGTGGTTGTGAGGTTTCTTGGAATCTAGGCAAGTGGGGTTTATATAGCTATGGAATGTCCAGGGTGGAAGAAGAAGTAGTTTATTTTTTTTACCCCGCCTCCATCTCCCCGAAGGGACTTGGGGCGGCTTACATGGCTTAAATAACTCGTCTGTTTGAGGCAAGTGTGAATGTTGCAATTGATCATCTTGATTAGCATTGAACAGCCTTGCAGCTTCAAAGCTTGGCTGCTCCCTGCCTGGGGGAATTATTTGTTGGGAGGTGGTTAGCTGGCTCTGATTGTTTCTTGTCTGGAAATCCCATTTTTGAGTGTTGCTCTTTCTTTACTGTCCTGATTTTTAGCCAGAGTTTGTTCCTTTTCATGGTTTCTTCCTTTCTATTGAAATTGTCCACATGCTTGTGGATTTCAGTGGCTTCTCTGTGTAGTCTGCTAGAATGGTCCAGCATTTCTGTGTTCTCAATTAATTTGCTGTGTCCCAGTTGGTTCATCAAGTGCTCTGTTATGGCTGACTTCTCTGGTTGAATTAATCTGCAGTGCCTTCCATGTTCCTTGATTCATGTTTGGGCATTGTATTTGGTAGTCCCTATATAGACTTGTCCACAGCTCAACTCGGATTATGGTGGTCTCTTTCACTGGACCACTATGTGCCGGGAATGTTTAGATTGTGTGTTCCTGCATGGCAAGGAGTAGGAATGGATGGCCCTTGTGGTCTCTTCTAACTCTATGGTTCTATGAACTAGGGAAAACTAGTTTGAAATCTTAGGCTTTAACTTGAGAAGAATATTTGCACTGGTCCCCTTTCTTCAGTATGAAAGCTGCAATATTTATTATTTCAAGGGCATGAGGCAAAGATAGTATCTCAGTTACCTATTCCATCTTACATACAAGAACATAATAGACAATATGTGATCTTACACAAATGCTAGAATATATTTCCCACCAACTATAGCCATTTGTAAAGGATTGTGGGATATGTAGCATAACAAAACATGGGCAACATGTGATTTAACAAATATAACATAGGTCAATCCTACTTCTTTTGATTTTTTTTCAGTGACAGGCATGCAACAGGTGTGTGATTTATTGAGCCTTTAATAAGTGTGTTAATTAGATTGGTTTTGGCTTGGTGCAAGGATTGGAGGTCTGGATTCACTCCACTCTGGGGCTCCCCAAGTGACTAGGCCTGCTTCTGTTTACACCTTATTTTACCATGGTTAACAGATTGAAATGCATTTGTTGATGGTAGTGAAAGGTTTAAACTAAACTGGTATCTTGGCATTTTTGCCTTGAATTCCATTTACCACTGGGATATAGACCCCCAAAATAGAGCTGAAACTGAATTTGATCTATTGTTGAAGGCTTTCATGGCCAGAATCACTAGGTCGCTGTAAGTTTTTTGAGCTGTATGGCCGTGTTCCAGAAGCATTCTCTCCTAATGTTTCACCTGCATCTATGGCAGGCACCCTCAGAGGTTGTGTGGAATGCGGCCATACAGCCCGAAAAACAGCAACCTATTGAATTTGATCCTTGGTCCCCAGCCACTGTTTAGTGAGTTACACTATATGGCTTTTCATGATTCATCTTCACCAAAATTATAATATTAAGCAGCCGCACCATGTTGAAAACACGACTTTATTTCTTAAAAACAGCAATGACATCTCATCAGAAGTACGTCAAAATACTGACATAGGACAACTGAATTTTCAGATTATTGATATCCAGCAACAAAATAGGTACCTCCACGTTTAGGGATTTGTCTGAAGGAATCTCTGTGCTTTCAGTTTCCACTGGATTCAAAGGTGCTCTATCATTTGTAGTACAACAATTTATTCCTTTCCAGTATCAGAAATTTTACCAAGCTAGTCATATATTTGAAACACAAAATACACATACATTTCAACAAGGTAACAGCTACATATCTTGCTGACATTCAAGGCAATATAGCCTGATTGTGTTTGTACATGAAATAAAGTACACTAATACATCTCCGCTTCAGACCTTTTGATTAGGAATACAGATTCATGGAGGAAAACAAGCTTGTCATAATTTCTTATCAAACAAGTTTTCAGTTCACACCCCATGCTAGTGAAATCATAAGCGATAACCAATGTTCTTACACTAGAGCTTTAAAGCTGGCAGCCCCGCATTTCTGCTGCCTGCAGAATTCTGGGAAATGTAGTTTGGGAAGAGAGGCCCTGCCCTAAACTACATTTCCCAGAATTATGCAGGTGACAGAAATGCAGGGTTGCCTGGTTTAAAGCCCTGGTGTGATCATGTGGAACATTTCTGTGCATCTCATTTAAGGTGGCTAACCGTCATCCTCCGAGAGTTTCAGGTTTATAACTCACATCAGACTTGATCTCTGGCTTTACTTTAAAGGCTCATGGGAATGTGAACATCTACAGAGCCACAGGCCACACATCCTTAAGTCAGCTGTCTTCCTGTAGATCAGTTGTTCTCAACCTGTGGGCCCCTAGATGTTTTGGCCTTAAACTCACAGAAATCCTAACAGCTGGTAAACTGGCTGGGATTTCTGGGAGTTGTAGGCCAAAGCACCTGGAAACCCACAGGTTGAGAACCACTGCTGTAGGTGATGAGAATATAAACACAAGATGTTCATTTTAAGAATTCAAACCATGTCACATAAAATGGTAACTTCAGTCCAGTTTGGTTCCTCCCTAGATCTCCTTGTCATACTGTGAAGGCTTGAATGCATCTAGCAAGATACCTGCAAAAAATTGTATATGTACAGCTGACAGTAAGACTAATCTCCATAAGAAGACGGGAAGCTACATATATAAGACTTTCCCATTCCGTCCAATAGCACACATTTCCATGTGGACATAATCTAAACGTTAGTTAAAGTAAAGAGGGGTGCACCTAAAGCTAGGCCACGAGTTAGTTTTGGATCAATTTTTTGGCTCGCCATCCCCTAGGGATCTATGTATGTGGGGCGTTTGTAAGCAAAGAGCAGGGCCGTTCTTCCCTAAAGGACTTGAGATATGGAGCATAGGAAACATTTCCCTAGCTCTCCTTGTCATACTGTGTAGGCTTGAGTGCATCTAGCAAGATACCTGCAAAAACATTGCACATCAGCTCCTTAGTTTAAAAAAAGGAACACTCACAAACTGTATGAAGAATATATAATTTAGTCTATTTTTTGTCTATCTGAAAAAAAATGTAGAAAGTGCAAGGTCTAGTGGTTAACAGTTTTCAATAAACATTTATAAAATTTACTCAAGTGAGCTGTACAGCAATTTTGCAAAATAAATATTATCTTTCATTAGAATCCATTTTATGTACAAATCTGTAAATAAAACATTTGTCACACAAAATATAGCTTTAGAGATATTCACTCTCTTGCTTTTACATTGCAACATTCTCTGTGCCATAGATTAGCTTCAATTTGAAGAATGCTTCTTTAAGCACAATTCCTTATATATTACAATTCACCCTGTTTAGGTAGTTTACAAGTCTATATCTAATTCATTATTTTAAAAATATATAAAATGTACGTATTTCTGTGCTCATGTTTTGGATAACTTGTTCTCTAACAGGACCTTTCACTTATATATCCTGATGCAGATACATACAGAAACCATTTAGCCTTTTACTGAGACTGTGCATCTTTAAAAGACACTTGTTTGTAGCTTTATCAACAGCCACTAAAAACCATGACGATATCTTGTTTACTTGTAATACTGACATGGAAATTAGCATCTTGGGAATTTAATCAAGTTCCAAGGAAAGTTCCATTTTCTCTTACACAAAACAAACAACTTATCTGTTCACTGGGTGTGCCGCCCACTCTTCCAGTTCCAAGGGATACAGAGGTCTCCATCTTGCAGCACTGAATAGAAGTGGGATATGCAGAGGTGCATGCCTCGCAGGTATGGCAGTAACTCCTCTTCCAGCAGTCTGTTGCAGGAATGGATCATCTGCACACTGGAAACACTGGGCTCCTTATATAGTCGTTGGAGGCAGAATTTATCCACAGCAGCCTCTACCAGCTGCTTTTCTAGCTTCATTAATCTGAAAGAGTAAACACCCCCATCCCACATGGACATCACATGGGGTTTTAAATTTTCAAGAAAACCCCCTCCTTTCTGCTACAAAATTATTTGCTAGCTGCTTTCTACACTGAGTTGAAAATAATCTGTTAAACAGGTGAAAGGCTGTCTATCCACTTGAATATTGGGTGGAGGAACAGAAGTAGTCAAATCCTTTGTAGCAGGTTTCCCCCCTTTCAGATCAATCTCATCTCCTACCCATACTCTTTAGGCCATTCTCCATCCAATTCTCTAATCATATGCAACTTGAGACAGAGGAAAGTATAATCACAGGCGAACAAATGGCAAACACTGATACCAAGGGAAACTAACTCTCCAACTTTCTCTTGTGTTTCATTCAGGTCAGATTGTGCATGTGTATGTGCACAACTTTGGTTATAGAAAATGACATGTGGTCCTAGTCCATTTTTGCTGCCACTAGGTGCCCTTTCTTGATTGGAGAAATAATAATAATAATAATAATAATAATAATAATAATAATAATAAACAAGCCAGCAAAAACACAGATTCCCCGACTCCTTTTATGAAATACGATAGATTTTATTTCTTATGTTTGTAGGGAAAAAAAGAGTATTTATTATCCTCTATCAACACAAAGTAACTTAGGAAAAACCATGAGACCCTTTAAAATACCTAGATTATAATCATTGCATCATAGAGTTGGAAGAGACCTCATGGGTCATCCAGTCCAATCCCCCTTTAAGCCCTCTCTAATATATAGCGAGTGCTCAAATATTCTGAAGATGCCAAATCCTTTCTGATTTTGCAAACTAAGCAGGTTCAGGTTTATTTAGTACTTGCACGGGGGGGGGGGGGGAATAATATTAGGTGTTTTAGGTTACACTTCAGAGCAAGGCAATGGCAGACTATCTCTGAGTATTCCTTGCCTTGAAAATGCCATGAAAATTCACGGGGCTGCTACAAATCCATAGACAACTTGAACACACATACATACATACATTCCCTACCTCCAATTTAAAATGCAGAAACACACATTAATTTGATTACTTTGACATTTTAAAATGAACTGGATCATATTTTATTGTATTTATTACTTTTTATTTTAATCGTGTCTGTCATATTTCGGTGAATATAAATGTTTTGTTTTGGGTTTTGTTTGTTTTTTTCCTTCTTCTAAAAGCTGGATTACAGGCCTTTTCTAGTTTGGCTGTGTATGTGTATGAATCTGCCTAAAGCAGATTCCAGGGTAGGGAAGTTGGCTTTTGGACTGTGCCCAAGCTTGGCTTGGAATATATAAAATAGGTGAGATGCTCTTCCAGATCGTAAAAGCTGTTCAACAGTGGAACTCGCTGCCTCAGAGTGTGATTGGGACTCTTTATATGGAGACTTTTAAATAGATGCTAAATGGCCATCTGTCAGGGGTGCTTTATTGTGCTTTTCCTGCAATGCAAGGGCTGGATTACATGACCCATGTGGTCTCTTCCAACTCTATGATTCTATGAAATGTGACAGAAGATAATGATATGCTTCACTGAATTAAAACACGCTGTGACACCTTACTCTTTCTAATCTTTTAGCTGATGTTCACTTTTTATTCATACTAAGCAGAGTAGTTCTTTCCACAGCTGCCTTCTTGGAAACCTGCAACATATTTTACTTACTCTTCCTTTTTTTTCATCTTCTCTCTTGCTTGTTGTGCATTGGTGATGATAAACCACTGAAGGGCACTGAAATCACAGGCTGTCGGGATGATGAAATGGCCTAATTCGTGCAGACTCGGTGCGTACCTGTCACTGCAATAAAAGTGAATTAAAGATAGAATGAACTGATCAACCTGTACTTCTTTTCTGAAATGATTTTGCTTAGTGTAGTGATCCTCAATTAGGCATTTTAGCCTGAAGGGGAAACAAGTGTGGGATGCCCCTAAAGATCATTTGCTGGGGAAGAATAGATCTTAGAAAGATGTAAAAATGTAGCACAAGTTTCAAGCAGATATCAAAATGATGGACTTGCACCCCACAAGCGCACACTGAACAGTTCCTTAATGAGCTACAAGCATTACATCAAACTGAATGCATACATTTAAAGTAATCTGCTCATTTTGACTTGGCATAACCACCAGGCACTTTTTGTGTTTGCTAACTAAACCTTTTTGTCCTGTGCATGCCAGAGTGAAAGAGGTTTATCTCAATTTCGTGGAACCACCAGAACAGATAGAAAAACAAAACATGGTATTCTTGCTGCTTGTTCTAAAACTCATTTTGTCCAGAAGAAGAAAAATTACAGTCTTTTATTGCTAAGCACTGGAGCAGGAAGCCGTGTGTCTGTTCCAAAGGTCAGTTTAAAACTGCTGAGTATATCTTGTCCTGACAAGAAATATTACAGAACGAGTGAACAAATTACACAGTAAGCATGAGAAACCTGCACCTTAATTGTAATTGACAACTTCCCCGTCTAATTCCTTGACTTTCTAGCCATTACTGTATTAAGAGGTAAGGAGGACAACTGCCTATTTACACACAAGAAACAATGACCGTGATTCATTAGTTTTGCAGAGCATGCATTTCTCAGTGCTCCAATTGTAGCCAAGGAAATCTAATTTCTTAATTTCTCCTTTGCTCATGCTGTAAATATTTGTTAAACAAATGTTTTCCAATACTGTACTTAGTAGCTGGGATTTCTGGGAGTTGTAGGCCAAAACACCTGGGGACCCACAGGCTGAGAACCACTGGTCTAACCTGTGTTTCAAAAAGAACTGGAAGTATTCAACAAACCACGTAAGAATACTATGGCAAGGATCGCATCCTCTCCCACATTATGTGAGTGGAAAATTTCTTCATGCATAAGCGTATGTGTTAAATAACAGATCCTTCTACCAGCAGCTCCTCACAGCTTAAGGGGCGACACTCTGGAGGGCAACCATCTTGAACTGAGTGTATTTGTAGGGGCTATGGCTAGAAAAAGACAATTGAAATACCTCTTGTGGCATCAAAACAATGCCCCCAGTTCTTGGCCAAAATAATGCTTCAAAAAACGAACCGTCCAAGAAATAAAGTGTTTTTGGTAACACACCTTTCTAAAATAATTTGCAATCCACGCAAACTGTGAGGGTGAAATGGAAGCCTGCTGTTACGCATTCGGTTATAAAAACTATCAAGAATGGAGTAATACTCTTCCAGTGTCAGCGTCGGCTGCAGTTCTTCAACGTATGTTATTTGTACGCCGCCTAAAAGATGGCTTATACGGTCCTCCAGAAGCAGCACTTTTTTTTGAAGTGCCGAGTAACTTGGCAGCCTTTCAAAAATCTGCAAAAAACAAAAACAAATCCTTTAAAATTCAACTTTAACAAAGAGTGGGGCTTGTTTTATTATTTTGTTATAATAGTGATGGGGCCTTTGTTAATTGTGAGATTTGTGAACTAGAAAAAAAGTCATCAAAAGGAAAAGTGTGGCTACATACTAACATCTAAAGGGAATTGATTCATACGAGATACAATTATTTATTTATTATTCATTTATTTACGACATTTCTGCCCCACCTTTCTCCAGGATGTTGAAAGAGGGCTGAAGAAATACTGACTTTCAGCAGCAGCAGCACAGAATAAAGCCAAAGTTGGCCAAGAATGGGTTTCTACTCTTGCTGATCCCAATGTAGTTGTGAGCTTATATATGACAGGGAAGGTAAACAGCTGCCTCCAAAATAGCTTACTGAGCATGTGTAATGAGTAAAACAGAGAAAAGGGGAAGGCAGATATGCTTTCCTCCTGAACTAGACTGACATGTTGAAAAAAGCATTTGCGGGTTTCACTTTTGCAGGTTTGATTAATATGTTATCTCTAGGGAACTCTAGGTCCTCCAGTGTGGCTTATGGTTAACATCCACTAGAAGCTGATTACAGAGTTGCCTTAGAACAGAGGTGGTAAACCCATTTTCATTGAAGGCCACCATCAGCTTTATGGTTGCCTTCAAAGGACCATTGAATTTATAGATGGCATTTTTTTTACATAGTGGTCAATGCTCTTTAGTTTTTACCCAGATGGTATTGAATAACAACTCTCATCGCTTTTGATTATCTGTCATACAGACTGGGGATAATAGAAATTGCAACCCAACGGCACTTATGGTTCTGAGGTTGTGGGATGCTTAAAGGTCATTCTGAAATCAGTCATCATATCCACAAGCCTTGTATCAAAATTCAGTTCCTACTATCCTGACTAAACAGAATAAACAGCAGCCTTCCAAATATGACTGTATCACAACTCTCATCAGCTCTAGTTATGAGGTCTAATGACTACAGGAGTTGTAGTCCAGCATTTAGATATTGACCATGAAGATGTATGGAAGGCTAGAGATTCCTAGAGAGCTGTTTGCTCAGGTAAAAAACAAACAAACAAACAAACATCTTTTTAATTTGTGGTTTCTTTACTTTCACAGGGGTTCTCTGTTTCTAACACAAATGAATGTGGATGAATAACTCTAAAAGCACTGTCACCAAAATGTAAACCATATAAAAAGTGGGGGCTGGTGAAACAAAAAATGAATTTATCTTAGGATGCATTTTGGAAGATTTAAAGTGGTTTCTAGTAGATTCAAAAATGTATCTGTTTACTCAACAAAGCTTACTTGACTTGTTTATTTCATTTCACTTGCGCACACTGCTAGTTTTGAATAATGAATTTGCTGAAACATGTTAAACTACTCCTCCTTTCTGAGAATCTGTCTCTACTGTCTCCATTAAAGTTTATACTGAAGAAGTATAAACTTTATTAAAGTTTATACTGAAGAAGTAAAACTCAGGAAAACATTTGCTTCATTAACTGTAGATGTACTACAAAAGCTCTAATGAATGAACAAGGCTAATATTTTAATTGGATTGGTTGTTTAATATTTTGTAAATTTTATGCCACATACTCCTTAAGCTGTTTTGTTCTACTTATATTTTAAACAGGTTTGAATCCCATTTTGAAAGAGAAGTTTGTATAAATCAGATATATAAAATATTTAAAAATATACAAATTATTAATATGGTATTAATTCCTACATATAATGTGGTCTTAACATTTAAACTTTACAGGTATAGATAGGCAACACCATAAACAGCACTGTACACTGTGCGTGTTATTTTATCTTTAATGTAGTGATTATGCATAAAGTATAAATGATATGAATTTGAAAACGAGGTCATACCTGTAATTAACTAAATGTCTGATGCATATACCTCATTAACAATGGACATGTGATCATGAGCCCACTATGTGACAATATTTCTCAGTACATTGCAGTCTTCACCACTGTTAAAAATACACTGGAATCAAAATTTAACCAGGCCTTTAACTTTAACCATGGGCTGAAACTAGTAACATACTAAAAACTGGAGCCTTAATCAATCACAATACTGGTTAAAGTGACACTAACATATCAATATAGGAAGAAGGAATGAGATGAGAGGCTCAATGTAATACAGGGATATCAGAATTTTAGTGTAATTAATAATAATAATAACTACATTTACATACATAACCAAAATCTAGCCTAACTTGATCTGGAATGAGAGGTTTAGAAATTTAGGTACAGGGTGGTACTATGAATCTACTTGCTAATACCAGACTGACATTACAGAGCAGTACTTAAGGAACTAGGTTTCCAGTTTGGAGACAAGTTCAAGCATCTTGTAGGGATTACATTTAGCACACTCCCCAAAAATATGCTAGATATTACAAGAAAAATCCAATTCCGTTACCAGTTCTTACTTTGGTCCAGTGATGGTGAACATCCATAGTTCCCAGCATAACATGGCCAGTTGCACTCATACCAGAGCGATCTGTAAAAATTACTGTGCGTCCTATTGGAAAGGAAAAATGTGTTTCAGTCACTACAAACAACAGGATGGTTGTTATTCTGGAGCAAGGACATTTCATAATAAAATGAGTTAGTCTAGGGAAGTCCAGATATCGATTGTGCACCCTCTGCTGGTGATTCAGGCTCTCAATGTCAACATCCTGCTTATACTACATCTATATCTATATATGAATATGAATCTATCCTCATCAAAATTATGTCGAGCAGGTGCTATCAGCCATCAGAAGCATCAGAATAGGAAGAAGAGAATTTTGCCAAAGGCTTGTTGGATTTGTACTGTATTTAGGCTTTTAAAGTTCGGATATTAAATCTCTATTTGTGCCCTGCAAAGAAAGCTGGAACTTTACACCATTATAACTAAGCTCCACTCATTAAGTCTCATGCAGAACTTGAAAAACACTTTTTGGCTGTAGCTCTCAGAATTAGCAATACTGGCTCAAGGATTTTGGCCAGTGCAATCCAAAGTTGCTGTGTTCAAAAGCTCTGTATTTTTGTATCAATTTCTGTGAAGAGCAGCACAACTTACTGTTATTAAATGAAATTCAAACAAAATAATAAATATGTACCCTATATACTCATGTATAAGTCTAGAAATTTTAGTAAAAAAAATCAACCACTGAAAAATTGGGTGGATGTGAGTTTTGTACGTTAACTCATAGAAAAGGAACATTCTCCTTTTCTGAGTGGCAAAAGTTCCAGGAAAATCTAAAAATAGCACAAATCTCTTGATTATCTCTACCCTGATGCCACATGCCCTTTTTGAATGTCTTGGGGAGAATCTGGAAACACTGACCACCCAAAGCGATACTGGTGCATTAGTCTCTCCATAGAATTACCCTTGACTAATCCATGAGTCGTATCAAAATCCATTATTTTCATCCTAAAACTTGCCCTCGACTTATACATGAGATTGACTTATACATGAGTATATATGGTACCTTTTGCATTCCTTGGTGCTTCTGGGCTCTGTTGAACTAACCGACTTAAACTGTGTAGTTGACTACACCGATGAGCAATGCCCCAACTCCTCTGCCATCTACAAATAACAGGGAACAGGGCAAAATGTACAGAATTTGAGTTCATTAGGTAACTTTACATTTCCTTGTCTAGCACCATAATTACTACACAGAGCAAAGGACAGAGTTAAACCTTTTTTTAAAAAATCCTGCCCTAGGCCAAATGCTTTCTCCCCAACCCCAAATAGCTGGAATACTGCAAGAGAGAAGAAACATCCCACTGCTTTTTTTCATGGGCAGTGGTGAGGGATGAGCCTAACCTAAAGGAAACAAATTGCTTTTTTTCTTTCCAACAGAGAGTCACATGCTGGCCACATTTGCCCACTATTGCACTATACTGGCCAATTCTTCTTTAAGCAAGAAAGGGTTTCTTTCAATGTACTGAAAAATATGAAAAAATATAGCAATATTCCAGTGTCTACAACTTTGCTATTTCATTCAGAAAACCACTGAAAGTGTTTAACTTCAGGTTTAGTAATCTTCACAACGGGCTCTGCTTCTAAAATCTGTACTGTTCTTACACCATTTTAGTGATTTAAGTGTTTTCAAGTGGACTCACAATTGGTATATTTGTTATGCTCCTTTAAATTGCTTTTCTGAGTCAAATGTTAGAATTGTCTTGCTTTTCAGTTTGTAATTGGTTGTTTTAACTTTTTTATTTTTGGAGTATTTTTATTTGGAAACTAGTAGAATTATACTAAATTAGTTCTTTTGGGATTAATTCTATCTCCTTTACAACTGTGCATGTAGAGGAAATTTGTAGAAAAATAAAATAATACCAAAGGGTGATTATTGTTTTAGGAGATTTCCAGGGGTCTGTTTTTATCTGCTTAATGATGTTTTTATCTTCTCTTTTTTCATGGTCCTGTGCTGTTTTTATTTTATTTAAAAAAATGTCTTCTATACCTGATGTTTTTGTATATATATATTTTTGCATTCTTTTGCATACATATTATTGAATCAAATTAAGCTTTATTTTTATATTAAGAAACAAACTGATATATCTTCTAGACCTCAGTTATTTGGAGCAGCTGGCTAGGATATGTATTCTTATTCTTCTAGTGCTATAAACATTATACAATGAGGAAAATGCCACAATGGAGCCACTAAAACACATACACAAGAATTTTTGAATAAGGCACTTGAGAGGCTCTCATTAAATAATGCAAATCCACTGAAAGAAAATTTTGTTATTTTTAATGACAGCAAAAATGGAACATACATTATTTGCTTAACTCCTGCTAGTTCCAGAAGTACTGCTCTGTTCACCTTGAGTCTTACATTTTAAAAATGCTTTTCACCCAATTAATTTCTTACCTAATATCAGAGAGCTGTAGCTGACAACAGAGTTCATCTTTCAAGCGGTCTAGTTCTTCCCTGCGTGGTAAGCTATCCTTCAGCTTCTTTTCTGCACTCTTTTCATTATTATCTAACCAGGAACTGGAAACATAAAAGACAACAACAATGATTGCTGAGACATTTTAAAACTAGCAGTATAATTGAACAACAAGATGGAATTGTTTAAAGGTTGCCACAAAAGTATTCTAATATGTTAAATATGGTGTGTGAGCCAAAAACAATTTGGTTCCTTCTGGGACTGCAAAAATATTTAGTAAAAATGAAACCTATGACAAAATGTTGCAGGCTTTTGTTTCAGCTAGCTAGCCATGTTATCTTTTAGGATACTCAATTACACTTCCTATGTAAGTCAGCCAACGTTATGTTTAAACTAAGCATACTGTTTGCATTGGAATCTTCAACTCTTTTAGGTTCCTCCTATTCCATCTTTTCAGTGCTCTGCTGACACTGGGACTCCATCAGTTCTCTTCAATTCTCTCTTCTCCTGAATAATGGAGGCTACCATAGTTCAAGAATTCCCAGGTATTATTGAACATGCTTGGCTCGTTCTATTTTGGAAGAGAGTGAGAGTGGTAATTCAAGTGCCAGGATTATTCTAAATAAAAATCTTCATACAATAGGTTTCATACACTGAGGTACTTCACACATTAGTGAATTATCAGAGCTAAAATGCTACCTGCATTACTTGAACAGGTGGAAGCAGAAATGTGAAAACCTGGGAGGCATTCCATAGTTCAGGCACTGGACTCCAGCTGCCCATCATCCTAATAAAGACCTATCTCTTTTGGCATTCTATTATATTGTATTTTAATTTTTGTACCATATGTTTGAATGTATGTATTTTATTGTATGTTTTCTGTTGATGTGTTTTGATTTGTGTTTTGATCCCGAGCCATGAGGAGAGGCGGGTAATAAATAAAATTGTTGCTGTTGTTGTTGTGATTAATTTCTTCAGAATACTTCTGGAACTGGAATATGTATAAATTCAGAGGAATAAAGATGTCAAGTGGATGAAAGACCAAATAACCACATTTTAAAATTTTTCAAAAATGACAGGTACTATGTGGAAGTAGGTTGATTCCTCTTTAGAGCTGCTTTTGTATACCATACTATTTTCTCTTGTTTTAAGCTTTGGGACAAGATAATAATAATAACAACAACAACATTAACAACTTCATTTTTATACCCTGCCTCCATCTCCTGAAGGCACTTGGGGTGGCTTACACATGGGACAAAATGTCCACATAACATCAAAGCAAAAAAACATCAAAGCAAAAAAATTTGAATTAAAACAAAAATATGATTAAAATAAAACACAGCAAAACATAACAGTCAGATAAAACACAATTAAAACATAGGAGTATAAAAACAGCAGCCTTAAAACTCACTCAGACAATACAAAACAAAAAACCAATAGCTGAATTACTAAGGTTGGCATGATCAGGCTATAGAAGGACCAGGTATGGGATAGCAGAAAACAGTGTAGTATAGGGCCAGGGTATTGGAAAATCAAGAGGACAGAAGTGAGCTTATGTGAGTTCAAAAAGGCTTCAAGAAAAAATATTTCCCAGGAAGGATGAAATGATTTATGAATGTCTGGTCTAAGCTACAAGCTCCCACCTTCTCTGATTCTACTGATTATGGTGTGAGATATGATCAAGTAAAAGTGTTTTTTTTTCCTCTGGTTGGATTATATAAGAACCCAAAAGTAAAGTCTAAAATACATTTAAGTCTCTTTCAATATTTACAATGGATAAACCAGATTTAGGTGATACTGAGATTCTATTGCTTCCATCAATAGTTGAATCAATGATGAAAGCAAAGATAGCAGCAAAAGGTAAAAGAATCAACATCGGCAATAGCAGCAGCAAGATGCATTGTCTTCAGGCTATTTGAGGGAAAAGGTATAGGGTAAGGCAGTGTGGGGGTGACTTGGATAATTATCTATTGCATGGGACAGGTCACGCCCTCCATATGGCTTTGGTTTTGTGGACCCCACCCACCCCGGAAATAAGATGGCAGCAGCTGCTGTGGCTGCTATTGTTAATATTAAGAACAATAATAATAATAATTTATTGACACCCTGTTTTTCCTCAGGATTGGATCAGAAAGTGGCTCATAATTTATACTCACAAAGGTTAGATGTGAAAATATCATTAAACTCAATATAGTTATTAAAACAAGTTAAACACAATACATTTAAAAATTAAAAGCTGCTACAAACAATTAAATGGAAACAGTGGGCCATTATTTAATTTTTTTCTGACTGAGGAGTAAGTAACTTGAAACCAGTAGCTTTCTTCTCCTGATGCTGCTGAATGTGGAAGGATTAGAATAGGGAAAAGAACACCTTCATAACATATTAGTCATGAAATGTTTGTTGATGGAGGCGATTAAATTAAGTGATTAATAGCACAAAATATCTGGAGGAGATCACAGTGCCTCCATCCTTTCCTGAACGAGGACAGTATGATGCTCAGTATACCATAGGTCTAGTGAAACCGCCTTATACCCCATAGTCCAATACCTTAGAGTAGTTTCCATCCTCTGGGCCTGCTCCAGTTCTTCCTCAGGATCTTTGAATCCAGTAAAAGAATAATAGGTCTTGTCCCATTTAATTGGCCTTGGAAATGGTTTTTGTGTTCCCGGGTTAGACGGAGTATTCACACTCAAGCTTTGTAAGTGCTCGGTAGATAGGCTGCAGGAATTCAGGATGTTTATCACTGTGCTTAGCAGGTCTCTGGTGCGTAGAGTGAAACTGACTGCTCGAAACCCTATAAAATACAACCCAAAAAAGCAATATTTAGCAAAAAGAACTCACATTGCTTCTATTCTTTCTTACAAAGAATCCTCCTCCTTCTCAGCTTCTGTTAATCATAATGTGGTAGTGTTATCACGGGTGGAATTAACAGTAGTCCTGGAATTAACAAATGTAAGCATCTATCTACCAAAAAACAGGACCTGGAAAGTTACTTTTTTGAAAAATAAGCCATTACATAACTTGTTACAAATTGCCGACTGGTATCCATTAAACTAAGTATTATGCAGTTTTTTTTTTAGATTATAGCATGGCAAAATGGAAAAAAAAACCTGAAAAGTATAACTCTTAATAGGTTAACATGACCCCATTGTTTGATGCCTAAAAATTTCATGATTTTTTTATAACTATGAATTCCAAGACTCACAAACAATTGAAGGCTCATACTGCATTTAGTTTTGTAAGATCCACAAAACAACCAGAAATACCTGTACTGCTAAATGATTCCTGGACATTTGAAAGGTTTTGTTCTCTCTCTCGTACATAAAAAGTGAGCTGAATTGGCTTAAAAGACCTGAAACCAGGTTTCTGGAGATTCTCCAAATACCCATTTAATCTTTTCAAAGAATTTTCATTGATTTCCTGAAAAAAATAATAAAAACAAGTTATTCACTTCTGAACACTACATATGTTAAAGCAAACACTACACAGATCATCAGCTTTTCATAGAATCATAGTACGAAGAGACCACACAGGCCACCTAGTCCAACTCCCTGCCATGCAAATATATACAACATTTTGACACAGGAAAACCCGAGTTAGAGTGGGAATAGGGGAATATTACTTCCTAGACGCCCACTGAGCCATGGAGTTCCCTGGATACCCTTGGAACTATCGCTCTACTCAAACTTACCGCAGAAAACTAATGGGAGGATAGATTAAGCAGATTAAGAAGAATTTGAGATCGCCACGTGAGACTGAGATATATAATCTCAAATTTTCTGGAAGTTGGATTTAAAATGTAGGAAACAAATGTAATCGTTTATCTGTGACCCATGCTGAATAATGATAACATTTAAGGAAGCATTTTAATCAAATTAACTGGACATACCAATGATTTTGTTACTTTTATGAAAAAAAGTTACTTTGACTTTGCTGCCTTTGCTGAACTCAGGGAACGAAAATCAGAAGTGGGAGCAACAGCAATAAGCTACCAGCCTCAAGAGACTGCAGCCGGTCACACAAAAGGAGCAGCATGCAAAAAGAGCAGAGGCCAACCAACAAGTCCGAAGATTAGCTTGACAAGCAAAGGTTCCTGAATCGGCTGCAGTGTGAACTAAAGGAACTGAGGGGTTTCGGTGGCAACCAGGCCATATATAGTATCGGGATGGTGGGTGGGATTATCGCCAAAACTTTTGTGCCTAGTGATTTTAGAAGATTCCAAACAGTGCTCTCTGCGTGCACGAGAATACCCAATTCTCTGATTCAATTATGTGATTCACAGAGACTATGAAGAATAAATATATTGGGACTTCCGGTGGGTGATGGCGACGGGGAAGCCGCATTGAGAGGGAGCTCCGATGCGGACCAGCGTTGAGGT